ATATATGTCATTTTACTTTGTTTTGTAATAATTTGTTATATTCTTGTTTTCTTACATGCACAGTTGGGCCTTGAGATACCAATACAACTGTTTTGCTTATTGAGTGTTACGACAGGTCAGTATATAGTACGTTGTGATATTGCAATGGTTGCATTAGATTAAACAGCGTTATAAATTTCAGTTATCTTTTGTCGGTGGTTTAAGTTTTTAGTTCACGTTTTCCTACTAATGGCTCCTATTATTTCATACGGATCAGATGTCTTGGGAGTAGAAATGTAGAGGTAACTGATCGTTTCCAATTGAAATATACTAAATCAGTTTTCGGACTAAAGCAATCTACACCATCTTGTATGATGTACGGTTAAGCTAGATATATTGCATTTGTCATTGCAAATTAAGTCTAGGGTTCTTAACTTTTAAGGCTAATTTATTAATGATAAAAAAGATAAAATTTATTCTATGCTATAATTCATGTCAAAGATATTATACTTTGATTTGGTGTAGATTTTCCTTGATTGAAATTTGTGCATACTTCTTAAGATTCTCTCGGTTTGTCAAGGAATTGAATTTTTCAAATATTCAATTCTGTCCCTCATTTTAATAAAATCATTTCTGTTAGAATTAAGTATCAGTTCATTCAAAGTTGGCAAACTTCTATTTATGAATCCAGTAAATGTATAAATTATAATTTTTTTAAAACTCAAAATGGTTTTAAAAGTACTTTAACATTTTACCATCAGATTTAACAATTTAGTTGTATGAACCACAAAGTGCCTATTGAAACAGGTAGAGTTTATAATTTGGATAGAAGCCTAAAGGTGTGTTGTTTATGTTCTAATAATCTGTTGGATGACGAATTCCATTATTTATTTAATTGTTCCTTTTTTCAATACCTGACAAAGACATATTTAGACAAGTCGTATTTTCATAGATTAAACATTGTTAATTTTTTATGCAAAAACATTTTACTCAATCTAGCGATAATTTATAAGAAATTTATCTTTGTTCTTAATAATACATATTAGATCTAGTTAACATGATATTTTCATTTTGATCTCATTCTCTGATTCTAATTTTTTACATTCTGTACACGTATCATTTTTATCTATTTTTTTTTCTTATATACATATGTTCATAGCATTGGCATGGTTTCATTTTAATATATGTCATTTTACTTTGTTTTGTAATAATTTGTTATATTCTTGTTTTCTCACATGCACAGTTGGGCCTTGAGATACCAATACAACTATTTTGCTTATTGAGTGTTACGACAGGTCAGTATATAGTACGTAGTGATATTGCAATGGTTGCATTAGATAAAACAGCGTTATAAATTTCATTTATCTTTTGTCGGTGGGTTAACTTAAGTTTTTAGTTCACGTTTTCCTACTAATGGGACATTAAGGAAAGGTAAGCCTTTTTAAAAAGCATATTGAAAACTCACACATATACATGTATATATTTGAAATTTAATGTAATATATGTCTGACTATACTCATTTGTCAAATCTGTGTACATTACATTTGACATTGCAAAGATTTATAAATAGATTATATTGAATGTAGGTAGCTAGAAATCGAACGAATTGGATAAAGTTGTATTTTGCAAACCGCTGCATTATGACTATTATTATTATCTCATTATTAAATTTTGTTTTTCAATGAGGTTAATAAAATTGAACAATGTATTAATATTTTTCTTCATGTGTTTTAAAGTCTTAAAATCACACTTCGCAATTTTGTCAAAAAGCTGCACTAGAATGTGATAACAGTTTACATCAAATAGCAACAATCATTAGATGCTATATATACACATGTACATTATATTTCATACTTTTTTTGGTAAGTGGAAAGTCTGTTTTTTATCTAGGTCATCATTAGATAATTTCTATGAGACCACGGGGTTGACTTAGTTCACCGTCCTATATTTCATGTCACGGGTGTCACAATTAAAAAGGTTTTTATGATAACGGCGGATGAATATTACGTTTAACTCGCGGACGGATCTGAATCAATGTAAAGTCTTTATTAAAGCTATAAAATCTTGCATAATTTATGTTTATAAACGCCATCGTGTACTGCAAGGATTTCGGCTATGTTTATATATATTTATTTAGCAATTGAAAAACGTCAGTTTTCATTATTTGTCTCTCAACCAATGCCATTTTATTAAAATTTAAAAACTTCATTTGTTCTTATAAGATTTAAAGTTGTCTCGTTGTACTCGTATAATCTGATTAAAAATTCTTAATTATTAAGGATTTTAGGAACAGAATAAATTACAACAATTTGACGGGCAAAAGTGATATTACTCCCTACCAGTGGTGTACGTAGTTTTGTGGACCGCAGAAACTAAAACGGTGTCGGTATCAACAAAAATTGGAGTCATTAACGGACAAGTAGAAGATGTAACATTTCTGATAAATCTGCAACAATCCAAACGTTTCTTGGAATACCTTTTCTGAACCACCTATTGGAAATTTGCGATTCAAAAAACCTTTGCCAATAACGCGCGTTAAAAAGATCCGTTAAACGCGTTTAAGCACAACAATGCATGTCTTCCTGGAATAAAAGGTTTGCTCGAGAGTAAAAGAATAAATATGATGAGGACTGTCTGTACTTGAAATGTTTATGCCCGGAATTAAAATGAAGAGGAAAAGCCATTGGCAGTTATTTGGTGTGGAATATGGAGTGTTTCATTCTAGGCTTTTCTTACATGTATTTAGGGGACACCACTTAGCAACACATGGCAGAGTTATATGTCACCTCAAAATTATAGGTTGTCAGTGGGGGTTTTCTTTCTACCGGCGATGAGCATGCGCCGGGTTAATTACGGGCTATGGGACCAGCATTTGGGATAAAAGGGTGCATGAAATATTGCTGCTTTTGAGGGGATCCGAATCGGTACAATTTTTGGAGAAGTCGGCTGGGTCGGCTATGTATTTCATCAAACACCTACCTGGAAATAAAAAGGACTATTTCAAAGAGCTATAGGCAAATGGAAGTGTTGGTAACTTTTTTGGGGCTAAATGAAAAGAATAAAGAAAAACGCAAAAAAGATTTGGAAATCTTGCAAATTGTAAAAACAGATAAATCAGAGTCATTGGCTTAATTGTTTGCGTCAGGTACCGAAGTTGAAAGTCAGTATAGATTTCGTTGTAACTTTAAAATACGGACTGCTTACATATCCATTTGTCCTACCAACACATGACGGCGACTTTGTTAAAACTGAACCAAAACGTGTTTTGACAAAGATAATGATATGACCAAGTAAGTTGCGGATTTCTTTTCGAGCTTGGATATAATGACTGGCGTCAACTCGGGAGAGGGCAGCACTGGCCTTAACCTTAGTAACAGGAAACTAACGTTGGAAACTTTACGGCAACAAAACTACTTCGAGAAACACTTTCCTGTAACACTCAGAAAGTTTTCTGGAGAAACCGTGCCAAATTCAGTAAAGTACAGACCGTCATATCGGAGTTATACAACTGGAAAATCCCGATGATGAAAACAATATAAGAGAAAAATATATTTCAATGTATGGCGATATTCATTCAACAAAGGATTTGTTGTTACCACTTGATGCCATTCAAACCCTTACGATAATCAGCACACGTATAGTTTTATTTGATATAGACCCGAAATCCGGCTTTCTACCGCCGCCGCCATTGGTTTAAGAAATTCAAGCACGGTGGGGGACCTTCCTTTTGTTTTGGATTTGTAAAGTCTGATCAACTAGAAGATGGATTTCTGCCCAAGCCGACGAATGGGGAAACATTGTTATCTGCTGACGTCATGACGATATGGTCGAACTTCGCAAACACTGGTAGGGTATAGATTTTATTAAAAAACTTTACTTAAGAACATTCATTTAACTTTTAATAGTATTAAATAATTTTTTTTCCTACCATACATTTGCACTTAATATATAGCGACTTATTTCCGGTAATATAAATTTAAACAAGAAGTGCGCTGCTACTTCTCCACTTGTTTTTCGTGATCCTATTCTTAGATATTTTGGAGTGTGAGAGGGTGTTTACCACTGTTATTCCTTATTCAGAAAAAAAATGTAGCTCGAATACATCCTTTATAGAGCCCGACTTGTATATGTATAAGATATTTGAACCTTTATTAAAGCATCTCAACAGGCACAGGAATATTATTATTATTTTCAAATCATGTATACAAATTGCAACTATAAAGGGCTAAAAGTATTGAGAGTTCAGTTTTAATACTTAGGCTTACGTTTTATCAACGAGATTGAAAAAATGAAGTGACTTCATTATCGTATCCCTAGCCAATCATGCATAAATTTATCGTGCAAATGCACATTTTCTGGAAGAAAAATCATACCAGTATTTTTAATTTGAATCCTTGATCAGTTTAATCATAAAATATTTTCATATCACAACTGTCCATTTTTTCATATGCACGCTTCTAGAGTTTGTGATTACAGATATGGGCAAAGTTGAAAACACTATGTCACGTGACAAAATGTACTGAAAATAGGTATTATTATGAAAACTGGTGGAAGAAGGCGAAAGCAGCTTTGAGTTTGTACGATATTTCCCAACGCGAGTCGATATTTACCGATTGATAAGAGTTCGTTACCCTTAACTCGACATACTTGTATAAGTTTTTTATCCACAAAAAATAATAATAAAACACAATGTTAAGAAATAAAGAGTATATTAGAATATGAGAGTAAAAGTTTACTAAGAACGCTACCAAGCCGTGGTTTTTATCACCCAGAGAATCATTTTCAAGTAGACTTTGATATTTCATTTGATGTTTGATATTTCATGGTGCTAGGGGGCGTGGACGGTAGTTTGCACTTGACAGTACCGTCCATGAACAGGCTCAATCAAACCGAACCTGCAACATTTTAAATTTTTCCGTGTTGGGCTTTCTTTAGGAATTCTGTTTTTCTCTATTTTTTGAATAGGTCCCATGCAATATTCTGGACGTGACAGCGTTGTACAAATATTGTTGTTCTTTCAGAAATCCTAATCTACCGTCAGACCTTGGACTAGATTGGATTCCATACACTCGAAAACATCAGCATTATTTACAAATAGCACGTGATATGACGTCAGCAAATGTTAAACAACGCTGGAATACACGGAGGGTAAATTTCTGGGAGAATATCTTACCACGAATTATCAAAGCTGCACAGTGTAATGAACCAAAATATACTGAAAATTTAAACCAAGAAACATGTGATAAAGATAAGAGTTGTTCTCCCTAAGCAATCACATAAAGTCGGTCTTTTCTTTTATATGAAGTCCGATAATACATGTATATGAATGATCGGCAAAGATTTTCGATTTGTTGAAAAGACCATAGTGCATAATACTTTTTTAAGTGATTAAGCTTGACTGTACATGTAGCTTAATTATACTGAAAATATAACAAACTAGTTAATCAGGTAATAAGACTGAGTCTTAGATCATTTTAGGACGCAAACTCATACTAAAACCATTTTAGGACTTGTATTCTTACTTCAAATATTTTAGGGCTCAAACTTGTATTAAACAAACTTTTTGGATTAAAAGCTTGTACTTTAACCTTTTAGATTACCAACTTCTTCAACTGTCTTAATATATGAATTTGGTATTTTAAAAATGATAGTACGATAGTACGCTAACTTGTGCTGCAATTATTTCATGGCGGAGACTTTTGCCGTTTCGCTGGCATGAAACAAGTAAAGAAAGGTTTCACTGTCTACTCCGTGTACGTTTTGCAAGCTAGTTAAAATCAATATTGTACTATAGTGGTATTACACCAACAGTTGATAAACTGTTAAATTTATAGCGCAAGTAGTCTAAGGTTCCAGTGTAAAGATACTGACATTGGCCTAGTTTAAACAGCTGTTAAACAAACAAGGTTGTTAAACGTGGTATTTTTTTTTGTAAAATAAGACCATTTTAAAAATTGATTATACTGCTTGAATATATTTCACGCTACATTTTTTTGTTTAAACAAAACTCAGTAGAAAAGTTTAAAACTTTTCATTACTGAAATGTTTAAAAAAGGAAACTATGGAGTCTTTTTATGAACAATCTTCTTTAATGTTATACCTATAGATGTTTGGGGTTTTTTTTCAGTAAATTTTATATAATTAGCTTTATCTTTATGTTAATCAGTGTCGAAACTTCCTGTTGTATTTAAAATATCAACTTCCATAGCTTTAGCTCTTAGCATATTTATGTTTGGAAAGCTTTTGAAAACAAATAATTATTCCTTGTGTTGATTTTTCATTCTCTATCAGAAAAGGGAAAAACTTAACACCATGTGTCACATAATGAAGTCTGTTACATGCCGTAATAACCCGGATATCTGGTTTTTGGAGTGTTTCTGAAACGCTTTTGCACCGAATTAGAAAATGTATTTAACCTTAAAAGTTTTTTTTTAAAAGTATCAACTTGCCGATACCGGAAAACTGGCCCAAAAACACCTGGGAAACTTTGACACCAATGTAACCAAGTAATAGAAAGAGCATCAAAACACGAATACGTGGTGGCGTAGCCCCCGAGTTTTAATCAGATTGCCGATTGTTTTAATGTTTTTCTCTTTTGTATTATAGTCAAACATAAAAACACGTTCCCTGTTGTTACAATAAGAAACCCCAGAAAAAAGTAACCAATGAATGATTATCTGAATATGAAATTTCTATCGCTTTTCCCCTTCTCTGCCGTCACAATATGTAAACCCCAGCAAAAATGAGTCAATCAATGGGCATGCTCTGGAGTGCGGGTAACTAATACCTGCTGCACTCCAGTTAACGCACTGTGCATGTAAAACTTATACGTTAATATTATTAAAATATATCTTATATGGAGGATATTAAATGAGTGTAGTTTGATACTAAATTTATTGAACGAGTTGAATAAAATCATATTATGCGAGCCTCTGGCGAGCATAATATTGTTTTATTCAACTTGTTCAATAAATTTAGTATTGAGTCTGCACGAATATAATATTCTTTTTATCACATACATAAAATAAGAACAGTAAACTGTTAAAATGAGTAATTTTTCAATGACGCACCTATAGTGTAACGCTAACATTAGCGCGCTTTAACGCTATTTTTCTATATAGCGCAAATGACGTCACGTCAAAGTGTTATTACACTAGTGTAATATCGTTTTTATTAAATGGCTTTATTACACTTCTGCGCCGCGGTTTATCTGATAAATGCTAGTATGTAGAGTGCTATATTTGTAATTGTACTACACATTATGTACCACATTGGTCGTTGACCTTCTAGTTTGATATTAATAAAACTTGGTAAAAAACTTGTTTGTTCTTTTAGTACTTTGTCTATATTGCATAACTTTTTTCGCCTGTTACTATTTCAAGTGCCTCATTTTGGACTGTTTTAATAATAATAATAATAATAATAATAATTTTATTCGGTAAAAGTGTACATGACATGGCAATGACATAATGATGCATAATGATACAATACATATAACAATAATCAAAATATTAAAGAGACTAGAAATATCACATGATATAAGTATACGACAAAATATAAATATATGAGCCATGTACTGCCCACCAATACCAGGGATAACACAAAAAAGAGGAAAGGATTCCTCTTATTTCCATTGTGGTCCCTGATATTGGAGGCATGACACAGAAAGTCATGTTAATTTGTATGAAATTGAAATTAATTCTTTTACTAATAAGACATAAATTGCAATAATTTAGTTGAGATCACAATATATCACAGTCCAAGTCTGTATCACATTAAAATCACAGTTCAAGTTTGTATCACATCAATAAATCATGAAATAGTGCATCACAGAAATTGTCAGTCAAACTGTAAAAATTTAATAAAAATATTATAAAACGTTAAATGTGCAAGCTGAAAATGGGTGAATTACTATAGGACACAACATATGTGTGTTGTGCTTAAACTTAAGAATAAGTAAAATCTGGGACTCTATTAAGACTATTAAAAGATTCAATACTATTGAAAAATAGACTAAAATTAACTGGCCACTAAATGGGCTTTGATGGCATGCTTGAAGGTGTGGGAAGATTGAATATCTCTAAGATTTTGAGGAAGGCCGTTCCATAGTGAAATACCATTAAAAGCAAAAGATTTTCTACCAAAGCTTCCAACCTTTGGTAAAGAAAATCGTCCTGTGTCACTAAAAGAATAGCTTACACAGGAATCTGATGTTGAAAGTGCAGACACTCTAGACCTGGTAACAGCGGTCATGGACCTGATTAAGGGGTACAAAATGCCCTTAAGGTATTTTGGGGCTGTGTCAGACTTTATTTTATGGACATGGCAAAGAGTTATCTGATCAACTCTTTTGGAGACCGGTAACCAGTTAAGAACCTTAAATTGCTCTGGCCCAAACATGTGACCTGCTGTCCTTATTCAAAACAAAACGAACCAATTTATTCTGGGTTGTTTGGAGCCTTTTCTTTCAATACTGAGTCAAACTTGGGTACCAAAAAGAACAAACATAATCAAAATGGCATTGAATTAAGGACATGACCAAGAGTTTCCTAGTGTGGAGATCCAAGAATTGACTTTTCCTATACAAGTATTTCAGTTAATATCATTTAACATGTTCAAGGAGTTATCCAATGTTACATCGGCATACTACAAAACAGTTCGAAACAACAGCAACATATGATTATATTCTTTCCAAACTTGAATAATTGAGGAGAAATTTCTGGGGCTCGAGAATTTTTTGCACATTATTATTGATGTGTGGATATATTTTCTAAAAGGTTGATATTTAGGTTTGTGTGATTTTGTATTTTGTATTCATTTGAATTGTAGGATGATTTACTTGTTGTTGTTTTTTTTCTAGAAAATACTACAGATTCTGTTTTGGGTGGAGTATGAAGTAACCAGCTAATCTTAATACCATTCATGATTTTTTTGAAGGTCGTCATTAAAATGTCCTATTTTTTGAAGATAAAAAAAAACATTTGAAGGTTTTGGTTGATGAGTCAATAACTTATACAATGTTTATAATGTCCATGAGTAATGATATAAGAATATTTATTTGGTTGCTTTAAACCTAACAAAAAGACTGGCACGTGAAAACTTGGCAAAGCTGCTACACTTATATTTCGAAGTTATAACTATAAAAGGATGTTTTGGGTTTGGGTAAGCTTTGAACTTCATTTCGGAGTGAGTAAATTGCTTGTAAAGGCACGTAAACTTGCGTATTAAAACCACGTGACTTTAAATTTGGGAGAAATTATTATAAATGAGAAATAGATGTCACTACATGTGGGAACACTTCACACGACTTGAACCTTTTAAATTAATAATTTCCATATCTAAAGTTGACCACAAATTAACAAAGTACAATTTTATATCAGATAATTAAAGGCAATTAAGAGTTATTTCCCCTAAGGACATTATTTTTGTATTTCAACCGATAAAAATATCAAACGCGCCCTAAGACATTCTATGTATAACGCATTGAGAAATTCTATATCTATAAACAATAAATAAACAAAACAATTTTTTTCTAACAACTATAAATTTGAAGAGAGAAAAAAGATACTAAAAATATATGTGTAACAAAGTAAAGTAAACAAATATTATAGAGTATATTTTATTATCAAAGTGTAAAAGCAGTCCGATTTAAAATGTTTAAAATGACTTAAAATCGTATAAAAATGGTAAATATATCAAAATGACTTGGTGCTGGAATTTATATTCAACATGGAAAGGTGGGTAAGTTGTTTTTTATTTAACTTATGTTCACTTAATTTTAATTACAAATTTAAAAAATATCGCAAACTGTACAATTTGAAATCTAATAAATCTTCAAAGGAGAGGAAACATTAGACCCCTAGGGTCAATGTTACTATTACTGAAGATAGAAAAAGGTCTCCAGTCAATAAGTAGAGGTTAGAATGAATGGAATGGAATGAGATGATTCAATGAAACTTAAAGCTTTGGGATTGCCTTAAGGCCCCTAAGATATAGTAATATTATTAATATTATTATAATGTTATATTTTCATCTGCTGTTATTACAAAATGCTTGTTATTTCTTTTGTTTATTTAATAATTATTAAAATTAAAAATTCAACATAGTTACATAATGCGCTGCTTGTATTTGTATTCCAACTAAATCAAAACCCTCTAAGGAAGTGATACTTGATAACCTGATTTCATAGCATTGCCATATTTCTTGATTCCTTTTATAGCCATGAATTCGTCGTGTTTTTTTGGGTTTTTTTGTCGTCGTAAATAGCATCTTAATCATTATTATCATCAATATCATCATCATCAATTCTGCAAGCACCATAGTCGCCAACGTTTCAAGTTTTCATCGTCGTCTTCATAATCATCACCATAATCGTAATCATCACAAGTATCACCATCGTTACCGTTTTCATCCTCTTTAAGGTTATTTTCATCACCGCCATTATTGCTATATGACATTACCGTCCATCAGTCGACGTTTTCCACTTTTTTACCTTGGTGTTATAAGAGTCATATTTCTGGACTATTGTCTTATTTCGTACTTCGGTTGTTATAACAAACGCGGAGGTAATAATATTTTCACTATTTGTTGATTCATGATTGTTTTATTTTTGTATTTCAGAGTGAGCTGGATAAAGACGATTTCAACACGTGCACCAGGATCTTTGTTCTTTGTCGCAGCCTTGATCCTAATATGTCTCTTCGTTCCAAGCTTTAAAATGCAAACATGTATGTTCTTAATTATTCATACGTTTTAGTCATTAACGATTATATAAGTGTTTTTTTTAATTTACTCATTTAAAGGCACATAGAATAGATAAGATTTGAATGTAAAAAAACTATATACATCGAATGTAAAACTATATATACAACAGTAAGAAATGATCGTGTTTCTGAATGAAAATGTTTATTATAATCAACTATAGTTCACAAAAAAAAGAGAGAACACCGACATATATGATATCTTAAAATATTAAAATACATATACCTTATAATTCACATAATAAAGTACACGATTATTCTTACTATATTTTACATTATAACTCATATTATTATTTACATGATGACTAATATGATAATTCAAATAATAAAGTAAACGATAATTCTTATGATATTTACATTATAATTCATATTATTATTTACTTGATAATTCATATGATAATTCACATAATAATCTTTTCATTTCAGACGTACATAGTAGTCTTACAAGTTTATTAAAATCTAACCTTACCAGCAACATCAGACAAAGCATACATGTACCAGATGGAACCTTAGACAATACCAGAGCTGGCAAACGAGCGTCTAAAGGTAAATATCTGGATACTATAAACAACTTTGTTAAATTCTTTAAAGAACCTTTGTTACAAACTATAAGCACGTTTGTTTAAAGCTATGGTTTAAAGTTATGATGAACTTTGATGAAACTATTTACAGCTTTGTGAAACATTATGAACAAATTTGATGAAACTTAAATATCTTTGTTACAAACAATGAACAACTTTAATGAAACTTTGAACAACCTTGATAAAACTATTAACATTTTTAATGAAAGTATAAACAACTTTGATGAAAGTATAAACTTTATTCGATTAACTATAAATAACTTTGAAGAAACTTATAAACAACGGTGATGAAAACTTTAAACAAATCTGATGAAACTGTCCAGATATTTATTGTGTGAACAACTTTTCTGAAACTACAAACACATTTGTTGAAGCTGAGAAAAAAAGTACATGTAATTAAGCTATTAACATCTTAGTCAAAATTGCAACATTACTGTTGAGACGGTAAAACTTATTTGTTAGGGCAATGGATATGCTTGTTGAAACTCTAAAACATTGGTAAAACATTGGCATCATAAAAATATGGAATTAACTACCACCCTTGCTGAAACTCAACATCTTTGTTGCAATAACAAAAATCTGTCGTCAAACTATTAAATCTATTTGTTGAAAAAAAAGTCGTTGCTGAAACTAAACAAATTGTTTTGAAATCAACCAAAGCTTCTCTGTTAAAACTAGAAACCGCCTTATTAAAATCATGAACATTCCAGTTGAAACTTAATTTCCTCTCCTCAAAAAATCATCTTGTTGAAACAATAAACATTATTTTGATTTCTTATGTGTGCCTTTGATATTTTGTTCTTTTGGTTAATATATACATTTGTCTTATTTTTTTACGGAATTACAGGTAGAGACATTTGCATTTTTACTTTCATTTCTAGTCTATTTTAGTTAATCGTGATTTGACAGAGAGGGGAAGACGGAAGTTCAAAATGTTAGGTCGGAAGGACATGTTGGCAATAAACCGGAAGTGCTCACATAGGATGCCAAACGCTATCATTATTGGTGAGTTTAAGGCATGAATACATTGAATTTGAAAATGTATCAAAAATGTTAATATTGGCAACATCTAATAGTTTTCAGCCTTTTTGCTCTGTCAAGAAACAATTTCTCGTTCACCTTCACTTTCATTGCAGTTACGTGACTGACCTCTGTCTACAATTCGTTAACATTTTCTTTCTAAAATTGTTGTACAAACAATAAAAGGAAATCCATAGAAATCAAGATAATATGTAATTTTGTAATTTGTTAAGTCAATTTTATCATTTTGACAGTGATTTAGTTTCAACTTTGACTACAAATTCAAAGTTATACTTGTAGAATACAGGTAAACCAATGAATATTTCCAGATTTAAGCAAGGGCTCTTTTGTGTAAACCAGGTCAACCAGTGACTGTGTATTATCCCAGCGTAGCAATTTGATAACCATTTAGCCAATGTGCATACAACTGTAAACGCTGGAATGACCAGAAAGCTATAGAAGCCTATGCTTGATGAAACTTTGATTACAGCATTGTTGTTAACCTACGAAAATTCGAAAATTTCAAGAATGACTATGTCTACACTTAACATTTTCTTGTCATTACAGGTGTAATGAAGGCAGGGACGGAAGCTTTTTCAACATTTCTCACTATAAATCCCCAAGTCGCAATGTCTTTAAACGTTCGATCGACGTTGTTCTTTTCGTCGAGGTATTCTAAGAGCTTAAAATGGTACAAACAGCAGATGACGTGCAGTACATCAAATCAGACGACAATAGAAAAGGCGCCACAATATTTTCCAAACTCATTGGCTCCAAAACGTATTCATAGCATGAATAAAAACATCAAGCTTATTCTCTTAGTCCGAAATCCCATTGACAGGGCCGTTTCACATTTTCTACAGGTAAGGAGCGATTCTCTCATTATAATCACTATAAGATGTTCACGAATGTGAATAAAATAATAATCCTCATTGTAGAAATTGGAGAAATTCTATCCCTATGTCACAGGGTGAGAAACAAGTGCAGCCTGACCGGGACTCGAACCCGGGACCCTCGAAATACCGTACCGCGGCTCTACCGACTGAGCCGCTTACACATCTCCCCTAAATAGTGAACAGTTCTGAACCGTGACATACTCCCCAAATGTATTGAAATTCGTCCTCGAATTTATAGTGGATACAGAGCACAATGTGAAATTGGACTCGGAGCTTATACTATCACGGTCCCCCGTTGGGCGCCAAATGTCACAGGGTGAGAAAAATGTGCAGACTGACCGGGACTCGAACCCGGGACCCTTGGAATGCCGTTCCGCGGCCCTACCGACTGAGCTATCCGGCAGCTTACACATCTTCTCACCTTAATAGTGAACAGTTCTGAACCGTGACACCTATACTCATGCATTTGAATAATACAATACTTTAAATTCTTTAGCAAGTAGAATAATGTTATTTCCAAGACTACAAGGCATGAATAATGGAATAAAATCCATTGTGGCAAAACATTTGAATAATGAATTAATTAAATTAAACCCTGTACAGACGTAAACATTGCAATTAAGTTCATGTATATGACGAGAAGTTTAAGTATAATTTCAAATAAAAAATAACCGGATATATTCCTTTAACACTAAACCAGTCATAATTATGTTTATATTCCTTGCAAGATACCCACGCCTACCCTCCTCATGCGTCACTGATATTGATTAAATAGTTGTTGAATTGACATTACTGTTGGTATTGTCCAATCAACTGATTAACCTATATCTAGTATGCTACATCAAGATCAGGTTTCTGTTGAACATCTATCCAAATTGATATGATTTTATCATTTTCCTTATAGATGTGTCATTATTGTAATCAAATGGTATTTTATATACATTCCAGATGAAAAATTCCCATCCAAAACGATTGCGAGGTAAAAATTTTGAGGATGTTGTATTCACACGCGGTGGTCCTGTTAATCCCTACAGTGTGTTTATTCGATTTTCTAAATATAGTAGCATTCTAAGAAACTGGTTGAGGTATTTTAAATTATCCCAGATACTAATTTTAGACAGTGACCAGTTTGTGAAGAAACCAATGCAAGCTTTAGCCAAAACAGAATCTTTCCTTGGAATACAGCACTATATAACAAAAGACAAATTTGTATTTGATAAACAGAAGGGGTTTCCTTGCTTAAACGTGACCGGAATCCCTAAATGCCTGGGTTCCGGAAAAGGAAGAGAGCATCCGAAGTTACGGAACACAGATTATTACAAATTGAAGGCTCATTTTAGACGATATAATGAAGAATTTTTCCGGATGACAAAGAAGAGATATACCTGGTGATCTGTGCTATTTATAGTGTCTCGTTTTCACGATTTTGTATTATTGTATTTTTAAAAAATAAAACATAATTCATTAATTAGTATGTGTTTATGTGATTAAGTTATATGTGTTTATGAAATTAATAGGCATGTGTTTATGTGATTTATTGATATGTTTATATTGCGTATAAAACTCAATCTGACTAAAGTGCAGAAGATCTACTTATTTCTTCTGCAGAATTCTGACTCGCCTTCTTTATAATTTGGATTTCCCGGGAAAGCTATTTTAGGCATGCAATCAAACCGGTTTTTACAGATAGGCATTAGAAGAAGTATCAAAATACCGTTATCCGTGAAAGTTAAACAAATTGTTGATTTTTGTTTGAAAAACACCTTTGAAGTATTTTGAACAAATTAATTTGAAATAACAGAGTCAATTTTTAATGGGCAAGATTCTTGCCAGTTTACCTGTCGGCTATATGGATAAAGTCATGCTTTTTTCTCGAAATCGTGAAAATTAACTACTCAGTATTGGTTTTCCATGGGTTAAATTAAGAAACCGCGCAATTCAATTCCTGTTCAATAAAATTTCTTTAAACTTTACATGTTGATAGAAACATTTCAAACGGAAAAAATTAGGGAGCACCTTTCTCGTTTTTGTGTTTTGAAATGGATTGTTTTTGCTTAATTCAAGGGCAGATTATTCACAATGAAAGTAATCAGTATCTTTTTTGTCTTTCCTGTAGCTTACTTCGGTTTGAGTTATTGTGCAAAATTTCAAGAACGAATAAATTGCGGTTTTTTTCCTTTTTTTTCTAAACCTTTGCTATTTTTTCTGAAAAATGGCCTATTTTTTTAAAGTCCTTTTATTCAAACTGAAAATTTGTGACAGAAATCATTTATGGAATTGAATGTTATTATGTATTATGATGAACAATAAGAAGAAAAGTACAATCCAGAAGAAACGTATGTATAAGTTATCTACCCTTGAAATAACATCAAATAAGTAAATACATGAAATTCTTATCCAAAGGCAGATAACTCAAAAATGAGAGCGATGCTACCCAACTGTTTCAGCTTAAGACATTTTTGTCGTTATATTCTAACAACATTCCAAGTTTAAAGAATTTCTATTTAACAGTTTTAAATATGTCTTCATGAATTTTGAGTGGTAGAGATAAATCAAGAAAGTGTACACGTATGCTTTACAATTTACAAAGGTCATATAAATGATATTCATTAAATTAGAGTGAACACAATATGCAAGAAAACACATAAAAACTGTTTATACCATACTGATGAGGAATTGAGAACGCTTAATTGTTTCTACTTGTATATTTGTCATATTAAGATGGACGCACTATAATTTATGTTTAGTTTTCGACCTTTTCGGCGTGAAGGTCATTTTGGAAGATCAAAAGGGGAACTAATAACAAACAATGATACGTTTATAAAGACTGTTATGATCAGAACATGAATTTTATATTTCATACAGATTATATATAGAAATATAGACCTGAGCTGGTATTCTGAATAACACAGAGAAAGGAATTCGTTAATACGACCTATAATTATCATAATTTCAACAATATTTCATTTCGTGATATCTTAACAAGGTCAACTAGGTCAAATAAAAGTCTGATGGTGTACATTTCTAATAAAGTGACTTATATCATACTCATTTTTTACGGAGATTACTTCTATTCTCTCGGGAGTAAGCAGATTATATTGTATATCACTTTTCAAAATTCAACACGTAACACAATGTCGTTACACGCATGCGCATGCTTTACCGACCGGAAACTTTAGGAAGAGCTTTTCCAATATAGTAGGATGATGGACTTTTGGGTTTTACGTATTCATTGCACAGTGTATCTTTACAACAGTAACTACACTTCATCGGCATGTTAGGGGGACCGGATGGACTGTCGTCAATTATACCGGACATACATTCGGAACTTCCGGCAGTTTTCTGCCACCATTGACTTTCACATTGTGTTTCTTTCACGCACCTGTAAATCAAAGAAATTCGCATAAGTAGCGAAAAATACGGACAAATACTAAATCATTTTACCGATGTATGACGGAAAGTGCCGAAAAGTTTCGATTGGAATAATACTAGTACATGTATCAGTTTTAAACATGAAAAAGCATTTGATAAAATCGTATCCATTAAAAACCCAAAGTACAAAAATGTATTAAAAAGATGTCTGAAATTACCGTTCCACTTACCCCTTGTTGAAGACCCTGGTACCATCAGCAAGCTGCGTTACTGTTGTCATACAGAACTGAGAATCCTTCGCACATATATTCAACTCTTGTTTAGAACATTGGGGATCTTTGCAGACATAGCAAATATATGCTGAAAATAAAAACACTTATTAGGTTAAATAACTTATTCTGTTTTTAGCAAAAAGAAGTATTTTCTAAAAGTCATACGGCGGTGATAGCGATTTGGACCGACATATTGCGGGGCATGCAATTTTAATCATTAAACTTGATGTTAAAGGGACTCCAGAAAAAGAAAAGTCTTTAAACGCTTTAACTCGTTTAGGTAAAGAATCATGCTAAATAGAGTTTCTCAACTTAATCGAGACACGGAATTGTTGAATTATACCGAAATTGCACCAGATTTAATATTATGCATATTTAAATTAACTATAATGACCGAGGCCATTTTGAAAATAAACGACTGAAATAATAACTTACGTGGGTCAGTCGTCGTCGGCATTGTGCTGACTGGAGTCGTTATTGTTTTAGTAGTTGAATGAGTAGTTGTTGTTGTAGGCGTGGTTGTTGTTGTTGTTGGCGTGGTTGTTGTTGTTGTTGTTGTTGGCGTGGTGGTGGTTGCCGTAGTCGTTGTAGTAGGTTTTGTTGTCGGGGGTTGAGTTCTGGGTGCGAGAGTAAATCCCGATTTAGTAGAAGAGACAGGAGGAGCCCCGGATGATGTGGCGCTGGGTGGAGGCAGATTTGTGGTGCTTGTGGAAGTTGACGGTGTCATTGTCGTCTGATGAACTGTTAATTTCTTGGGGGTGATTTTGCTTGTTGCCGTGATTGGTGGAAGTGTGGAAGTTAGTGATGTTGGAACAGGGGTGCTACTAGTAGGCGCGGCTGTGCTAGTAGGCGCGGCTGTGCTGGTATGCGCGGCTGTGCTGGTAGGCGCGGCTGTTTTTGTTGTTGGTTTTTGGGTACTTGTAGCAGTCGCTGGTGGTGCTGTAATAAACAATGTAAAACATGCAGAATATTTAATGGGTGTGGGTACAACACTGAATTAATTTCTTTTTGTTAATGGGTTTAGGTACAATACTGAATTTGTTGGTGTGTGTATGTATAAGTCTGAATTTGTTATTAGGTGTTTGTACAATACTGAATTTGTTAATGGGTATATGTACAATACTGAATTTTTTAATTGGTGTAGGTACAATAATGAATGTGTTAATGGGTGGAGGTACAATACTGTGTTTGTTAATGGGTGTAGGTACAATATCGAATTTGTAAATGGGTGTATGATTAATTCTGAATTTATTATTGGGTGTTTGTACAATACCGAATTTTTTCATGGGTGTAGGTACAATAATGATTTTGTTAATGGGTGAAAGTACAATACTGAGATTATTAATGGGTGTAGGTATAAAACTGAATTTGCGAATGGGTGTATGTTTAAGACTGAATTTATAAATGGGTGTTTGTACAATATTGAATTTGTTAATTTGTGTAGGTACAATACTGAGTTTGTTAATGGGTGTGGGTTACGTACTGAATTTGTAAATGGGTTTAAGTACAATACTGAATAAGTAGCATTTGCTTCATTACTGTAAAATTGAATTTGTTCAATATAATTATAATATGAGATACCAAAATAACAAGATAATTTTTTCCAAATTTAATATGCAACGTACACTCATTCAATATAAACATATATTAGAACACAATAGTTTTACTTAAGATGTACGATGGTAAATGATGCCATGTGATTGTCGGTCAAAATATATACATGTATTGTAAAATATGGATACATCTGATGATGGCTTTTTCTAAAGACACGGAAAGTAGCGAAAAGTACGCCGATGTTTAACGAACGTGTGAATATTTAACACTACACAAACATATTTGTGGTATCAAACTGAAATGAGATACTTTTATTACTTAAGGTCATAAGAAAAACATTATTATTCATAATCAAAATAACTTTACCTGTTGATGACGTCAATGGCATGACAGTGGAATTGGAATTGTTCTGATTCTGCTGTGTCCCACTTCCGCTATGAGCAGAATATTTACCACCGGACTGACCTCTGCCAATATGTATCTTGACATCTATGTCATATGACATACCGCCATGATTCATGCAGCAACCTTGTCCAGCGTGTGTATGACACGGTCCACCTTGCCCACTATTGCCCCCACTATGACCGTGATTGTTTCCAGAACCCCCGCTGCCATGTGAGCCACCACCAGCACCATGACTGTGGCCACCGGAATGACTTTGTCCGCCAGGATGTCGCGTAGGGCCGTTTGTCCTTGGTGGTTGCGTTTGGGGAGGTTGCGTCTGCGGTGGTTGCGTTTGTGGAGGTTGGGTCTTTGGAGGTTGCGTTGGTGGAGGTTGGGTTTTCGGTGGTTGCGTTCGTGGAGGTTGGGTTTTCGGTGGATTAGTTCTGGGTGGATTTGTGCGTTTAGGTCCTGTATTTCCGCCTGGTTTTGAACCGCCGGGTTTAGGCTTTGTGGTTCCGCCTGGCCTAGGCTTTGTGGTTCCACCTGGCCTAGGCTTTGTGGTTCCACCTGGCCTAGGTTTTGTGGTCCCACCTGGTTTAGAACCGCCGGGTTTAGGCTTTGTGGTTCCACCTGGCTTAGGTTTGGTTGTTCCACCTGGTTTAGGACCGCCATGTTTAGGTTTTGTGGTTCCACCTGGTGTACGGCCGCCATGTTTAGGCTTTGTAGTTCCACCTGGTGTACGGCCGCCATGTTTAGGCTTTGTAGTTCCACCTGGTGTTCGGCCGCCAGGTTTAGGTGGTGGCGGTGGGTTTTTATAACCTGTAACCAAATATAAGATACACATCAGTATTATATTGATATCAGGGATATATTACACTGTTAAAATTATTTGGGTAAATACAGTCATACAATTAGTTATTATAGGAGAATACTGATCAGGAATGGGATCTGTATTTGACTCGAGTAGATTTTCAATTCACAAGGCTATCAAGAGGCACAGGAGAGCCTAGTTTGGTTCTTTCTGCTCAATTTTAGGATTAGGGGCAATTTCTCATAATGCATGTCTATGCGAGAGTCTGTCTACCCTTTAGAATTGCTCACGTGACTTTTTGTGTTCTGCGTCCTCGGCTATCATAATTATCCGAAGACTGACGGAAAGGGCCGAAATGTTGCGATTGTTCTGATTGATTGGCAATCGCAACTACTTGGCCCTTTCCGTCAGTCTTCGGATAATTATGAACGCGGAACACAAAAAGTCACGTGATTATTATAGTTAATAGCCGAGGCAGTTCCGAATGATTGATTTTGCCCTTACCTTCGTCATCGTTGTCGTCTTGCAATTTTGTTGCTAGATTTTCAGGTAGATGGTTGTAGTTACAATTGTCACCGCTACAGCAAAACGAACATTTCCCCTCGAAACCATAAGACAGCGGGTCTTCCCAATAACATTCGTCAGCGTTGTTTTCTTCGGAGTTGGCGCATAACTGTAAGCAAACACATGACTTGCACGATTATCACTAATGGTAACAAAATTTGATTTCATGTGCTGCTGTTATTGTTGGTGCTGTTTTTCCTTTAATTATCTGATAAATTAAAACGATGTTAGAAAAACAAAAAAAATAGTTTTACGCAAATTTATCATGGCTAACAAATATGTCATGAATTTTAGAAATATATTACGCACCAAAGTAAATAAAAATAAAAGCTGTATTTAATGGTGACGATAATGGTGTTGATGATAATATTGACGATGAAAATGATGACAAGGATGATTTTGAAAAATGTAATAAGATAGAATAAAAGACTTTCTCAAACTTACCGTAATTCTAGCACAAGCTCTAGTTACCCATGTATCATCCTCTGTAAATGAAACTTGTGTAATGCACACACCCTGAAATAAAAACATCATACGTCATCAGTGAGATATAATTTATATCACACTATATGAAACTCACTGTATTTTTTTAAATTCATGATAGAATATATTGTTTTTGTATCATATTTACTGACTGATTAACGGAAACGACCAAATTCCTGGCAATATCTTTATATTTGAAGAAAAAAAAGATAAAAGAAAATGACGTTATTTTACCTGTTTAGGTGAGCAAACTTGTGTATGATTGCAAGGCTCGTGCAGGGGATGGTTATGGCACGTGTAACAGCTTGTACTGTCTGCACGTGGTGTCGGACTCCCTGTACACGCTGAAAAAGAATATGCTGAATGTTAATCAGGCAAAGTCCGCTTATTGTAACGCTAGCATTGGTAGTATTAACAGTACATACCATAGCATGGTCAAGAAAAAAGCTTTGAAAACAGTAAGTAAGACAACTGGACGAGATGTTATAGGTGTATAGGGCTCAACTGCCATGGGGTCAAGATGATGCCATGAAGTTTTGAAAACCCTGAGAAGTTAGCTCGAGTGAAATGGTGCATATTAATTTGTTGTTCAGTTTACATATTAATCTACAATTTTTATTACTTATTAATCTATAGATCAGTTGACATGTTAATCTATAAACGATTTACATATTAATCTATAGATCAGTTTACGTATTATTCTATATATAATTTACATATTAATCTATAGATCAGTTTATGTATTATTCTATATATAATTTACATATTAATCTATAGATCAGTTTACGTATTATTCTATATATAATTTACATATTAATCTATAGATCAGTTTATGTATTATTCTATATATAATTTACATATTAATCTACAGATCAGTTTATGTATTATTCTATATATAATTTACATATTAATCTACAGATCAGTTTATGTATTATTCTATATATAATTTACATATTAATCTATAGATCAGTTTACGTATTATTCTATATATAATTTACATATTAATCTACAGATCAGTTTACGTATTATTCTATATATAATTTACATATTAATCTACAGATCAGTTTATGTATTATTCTATATATAATTTACATATTAATCTACAGATCAGTTTATGTATTATTCTATATATAATTTACATATTAATCTACAGATCAGTTTATGTATTATTCTATATATAATTTACATATTAATCTACAGATCAGTTTATGTATTATTCTATATATAATTTACATATTAATCTACAGATCAGTTTATGTATTATTCTATATATAATTTACATATTAATCTATAGATCAGTTTATGTATAAATCTTTAAATAATGTACATGTTTATCTATAAATCAGTTTACATATTATTTGATATATCTATAATTCAATTTATATATTTAGCTATAAATCATTTTACAAATAATACAATATATCAATTCATGTATCATTTTACTACATGTAATTAGTTTGTAATTCAATTAACATATCAATCTTTAAACAGGGTTAACATATTATTCTATAAACCAGTTTGTATATTATTTGATACCTCTTTAATTTAATATTTATTTCAATGCATAAATTATTTTATAATTTATTTTATAATTCAACTTACATATTAATCTATTTATCATTTTAAAATATTATTTGATAATGAATCTTTACCAGCATTTAAACTGTACGGAAAGATTTTCTTCTCAAGATATATTCAAAATGAAACAAAAACCATTTCTATACATGCATGTAAAGAAAAAAAATCAGCAAAATCTCAATCGTGGTTTTTGGTTAGCAGTCTTTATTTTCTTATTTTATTTCATTCATAATGTTATTTTTTTATTTTTATATTTATTTTTGTTTGGCCATTATTTCAAAAATATTCGCAGAGAACAAGACAATCGCGAACTTAAAATCTAAATTCCATACATATAACAGCTAGGGTATTTAAAACGATTTGCACAAGATAGCAAAGCAATATACTGTGAAATGAATTAATAATTTTACTTATATGCTATTCTTAGCCCGATTTGAGTGAAAAGCGTTGCAACGCTTTTCAATTTTTGGACAGTTTTCACTATAAGAATAATTATCCTGGAAAAACAGAGTGAGCGAATGATCTGAACTTTTACATACAAGTTATTGGCCTATACATACATCAAAATGGAGCATTAATCGCAAACAGTTATTAAAAGATCCGCCATGCTAATAACCTCAGTGGAGCCCCTTTAACAGTCTGTCTGCGGTTTTCATGAGTTCATAAGAACACTGTACAGAAACATGGGCATTACAACCAAAATATTAGAAAATAATATCGAAAAAAATTTTATCCTCGATTATAGAGCTGATTTTTTTTTTACTCAATTTTCATGCGCACGGACATTTTTTATTAAAAAGCGCACACCCGACGTAACTTAAAAATCTGGAAACCAAGTGATCCCTCGGAAGCATTAATCACAACAAAATAACATGAACATTGCAGACTCGGTTTGATTGAGTCTGTACATGAGGGATAAGGAATAAGTGCAAATCCCTCACGCCCCCTAGCACCGGCTTGAGCGGTACTCAATTCTCAACACTTAATAAGGCTGGCATCAATGGTTCCGAAAGACCAGAAAAATATAATAGCACTGAAGTGAAGTACGGGGCAACTTCACGGCACTTAATTGACATCTGCTGATGCGAAGTATAAAAATATCGAAACAAAGTGAGGTTTTACGTTTTGTTTTTTATAAAAAAAATTCTTGTAAACTCAAACATGTGATCATATATATACACACCTAAGAACTGCACATAATGCCTCAGAAATTCATTATAATAATGTTTAATATTGAATTAAGAGCAATGCAACAAGACACCAAAAATAAAAGTTTGTGAAATTGAAAAATTATAGCATTTCTAAAGCGGTGGGAAAAGACTAGGCAAAAATAAAAAAAACCAGAAGCTCGAACCTATAATTCCAAATATCACTACTAAATAAAGCTCCGATATCAACATCCTTGCTGTCTTGCAGCTTCTACCTGGACTGAATGATAGAAACCCCGTATTTAGAAATATTTAAACCATGAAATTTTGAAGTTACCATGTGTAGGTGTATTTGATAGTTTAACATCATTCATATTCAAATAGCATTTAATATTTTCTTTTCCCTTAAACAAATAAACTAGAATGGGGATTCTGGAATTCGGGATCGTTAATTCAGAAACACCTTGTCAACTCAAACGAAAATAAATTATCTTTTCAGTCATCAACTTTAATACCTCCTTTGTAATAGAATAACTTTGGATTAATCATAAACATTTTGTTTATAGAAAGAAAAATACGAATATTTTAACAGTGAAACATGAAACGTGAAAACGATACATAAATATAGTTACTTGTACCTATGAAAAATATTTAGTGGCCTAAGTTCTTACACGTGACTGTATAGACAACAAAACAAATAAGGCTTTATGACGGTTTTGTTTAAAGCATAATAATAATGCACTAGTAAATTGTAACCAAAGACCCACGCCCGGGGAGTATGGGGTACGGAATAGCGGGTAGAACAAACCGATTTGCTACCTTCCGTTTGTCCCCGTAATGCTGGGTAAGTATAATGCGTGGTGCAAATTAAAAATGGCAAGGGGATATGTCAAACTCCCAATGCTGCTGCTTTAAGCGATGTTTTTTTCTCATCATCATCATAATAATACGAAGATGCTATAACATAATCTTTACTTCAAGAAGGTAGAATCTGACTGTCCCGAGGGTCGTTCCGAGGGAGTTCATAGTTCCTGCTATTCCAGGGACTCGTGGGAAGAAGCCGAGATAACCGTTACTGGTAATTTACGATTTCCAGGTTCCTGCTTGTTTTTCAAATGATATCCTTTTATCCAAAATGAACATTGAGGTTGGTCGGTGTTGACAAAAATATTTGTGATCAGGACATGTTTGAATGTAGTTCGAAAATTGTATGGGCGATATCAGAAGGAATAAGATCGCCGACCTGTTTCTAAAGGTGTATTGCACAAATTTCGAAACGCTTCTCAATTCATAACCTTATTATTGTGAAATAATAATTTGATCCGTTGAACGGTTCATCATATGATCATATATTCGTGTATATTCGGTATATTCCGATACTTTTTGTATCTGACAAACTCCCTGATGTGCATGGAATGTAAGTTCATTGCAATGTCAAACCATTCAAGAAAGGATTGACACAACCTTACAACAGAAACGTTCGAAAAATATAGATAAATAGATGGCACGAAGTTGACTGAGTTCTTTCTTCGGCGTCCTACCTTTTTTTGAAAGAAATTAATTGAAAATGCACCGAAATAACCTTTTTCTTGGATAGTTTTTTTCTTTAAACAAGTCTATTTCCAACATATTGAAATATTTTCCATTCATTCTGACGATTTTACGTCTTCTAGTTATGGATAAACGAAGATGGAGGGAGCAAATGCATTTTCTTTTTAATGATTTCTTGAGTTCTTTAAAATTCCTATAAAATATCATGATATAACAAATAAGCGAGTAAAAATGCGTTTCGCTCTTTGCATACTTTTGGAGTAAATACGCCCACCCACTACAAACAGTAGAGGCTGGACTCCAAAAAAAATAGCGGAGGATGTGTAAACATGGTCATTTCTACATTTCTACACACTTGACCTTAATCTGTTTATAAGCCGACACTGACAGCGGGATTCAGACTGCAGCTAGAGAAAGAACGCACACGCCCTTGTTAATTTAGGCAGATAAGGAATTTGACATTATCATAACCTTTCAGTAATTACATGGTAAAGTACGCGTTTCAGATAAAGAGTACAGTTCGCGCTTTTTGTTCAATTTGTTATAAATGTATTTACAATTTACGTAGTTTGGACGTTTCTATGGAAGCTTCTTTTTTATCGTTGTCAAGATAACGTCAAAGCATAATTTATTATTACTCATTTCATGTTGTATTAAAGTACTTTTTCCCCTTATTAACAACTTTTATATTATAAATGAACTTCTTCTTTGTTACGTGTAACTGATTTTTGTCAATACTTATTATCTTTGGATGATTTTAAGGGTTTTGGGTTGTAGAGCCGGATTGGGGGTATAGTTTAAGTCATGGCCATGCGTCGAACACCTGTGGGAAGAAAGACTCTGTATGGTTCACTTCGTGCATTTCATGCACAAACGGGCACCTAAGTAGAACCACCGACGTTCGATAGTTTCCCCACATGAAAGAATTCAAAGTCCCTGTTGGGATTCGAACGACAAGTGATTTAAAGTCAACGACCATGGATACGTACTCCTCTGTTTATCTACATTTACACTGGTATTTGTTAACTCTGTGTAACATACTGTGAATATAAGTTCAATATTTTAATGTTTCAAATAATAAGGTTATTAAGACTTACCAAGGGGTTATTTTTACTCTCTTGATTTTGTGGATAAAAATCACAAAAAAGTTACTGATTTTGGAGCGTAAAAAACTGTTGTGGAAAATATTTCAATGGGAAGAGGTCGTTGTATATATGCCTCTGTTCAGCTTCTGTTATACGCGGCGCAAAACCGCTTCTTACCTAAAAGCTGAGACATGAATGTTAAAACATTTTATTTTTATTTTACTTCAGCATATGACGTGTGATAGTAGGCATACAGTGGTTAAAGCCGGAGTCACCCGTGAATTACGTGCAAATAACAGGTAGACAGACTCGGTAGACAAAAGTGGTTAAAGCCGGAGTCATCCGTGAATAACATGCAAATAACAGGGTTGATTAATAATAATCATAATATAAAAATATTCCGAGTCTCAAAATCAGATATTCACTCTTTCATAAAAGGAGTTCAGAGCATAGAAAAAGCGGAGCTTATTCAAGTTAATACAATTTTCGAAAATTTCAAGCGAAGAACAGATCATTGAGTAAATTAGGTAAAGGGGTCCAGACGGTAAAAGGTACATGTTCTAAATATCAATTCTTAAAAGTTTTTCGGTTGAAATTCCATGCAATTTCAAGTCCACGAAATTACGAATAAAGTAAAACCCTCCAACTTAGCAAGGCAAAATTAAAGAACCTCGTTTTGACCGCGTAAAACACGAACCTGACTATCATTTTCAACGGAAATGTGCCCACGTGCGTAACGTTTGCTTCTAGTAATAAGTGAAAATACAACAGCTGTACTGTATCATTTGTTCCGTTATAATCAAAATGTAGAAATTAAAACTAACTTTTTTCTGTATATATCAGACGAAAATGATCGTGTAAACAGACACGGAACTATTTCAAACTGATATATCTGTAGATAATGCGCGCAACGTGTTAGCCACTATTTACACAAATTGCGTCAACTGTCAGATTGTTAATATGTTTATTTTAAAGATGTAGCATTATCAGATTGTTTGACAGATTGAGGTTTTGTCGTTTGAGTTGTGGTGTAACGGTCTTGTATGAAATAATTAACATGTTTTCAATGTCAACTATGTTAAGAATGAAACTCGTCATAAAATATGTTCGTATGCACATTAGTTGTCCATTTTAGCTGAATTTATGAACACTTTTGCGCATATACATTATATATACTATCTGCATTAGGTTTAACGTCACAACAATACAGAAGATGTCAGATGGCGACTTTCAAGTTTAACTGGTGGAGAAAGATCCCACGTGGCCCCATCCCCACCTCGCCTGAGTAAAACCATCAGCTATCCTAGCTTACTCGCATGAAAGAATCCAATGTCCCTGGGCAGATGCTTTGATGTCAGCGACCTACTTTAACCACACGGTTACGGACGCCATGTACAATTATATAATTATACAACTAATGGCATTAGTTGCATATTCTTCACTTGCATTTATCAACGGACTCCTCAAGGCTTTTAGTTTGTGTCATTTGTGGGTAAGCAACTTTGGTCACGTGACCACAAAAGTCAACGTACACGGCCAAAAATACTTGGCTGAAGTAAGTTTATAGTGATTATTTTTATGTCGAGCCGATTTAAATTATGCTATATAACCTACCGACCACGACATTTCCGATGCTTTCTAAAAATGCATTTAAATATGCATTTGGTGTCGTCTAACACTTTGTACTAGTATTTTCTGAGAACATTCAAACAATATTTTCAAATTTGTCGATGTAAAAAGTGTTGCTAATACAGAAACGTCAACGTACATGCACAGTCTAGAAAATGTCAACGTACACACGATAATGGTCCGAACATGAGGCTGCAATTTCAGAGTAATTGGTTGTTGGCTTTCTATTAGATTGCCCTCTCAAACTGTATATCAGTAACGTTACTGGTTAACAAAGGAAATAGTTTCGAGTACAATCATTTAAACGCAAATAAGCTTAGACAACCTTTAACTTTTTAATGTTATTTATTTGTTCTTTTGTAGTTTTCTTTTAGAAGAAAAAAATCAAGTTACTCAGACTGCTTAATGATTTGTGGAAACAGCCGTTTGTATATTTTATACTTTATTAATATAGAGCATATTACAGTCATTTAATAACGTAACCGGCAATGATGACCTATACTGTGTCTATGTGACGTAAAACCCAAAACAAAACAAAAACATAATCGGCCAGGATAATCGCCTCTTGCTCAACCAAACTATAGTGCCTTCCGTAACAACAAATGGGTCCAAGGTTGACGATGCCCCGAGTTACAATTTTATCATGATCAGCAGTTGCGTCACTTGATATTAATATTTACAGTGCTTATTCAACCCAGAATTGGCATGATGTTAAGATGACGACATATTTTAACTTTTTAAAGTCAGTGGTTTTAGTTAATTAACAAATATGTAAAAGAAACAGTGAAGAAGAAGCCGTAGGTGATCACGATCAAACCGGTGGAAAACTCTCTCGCTTCGAATCTGGTGACGCGCATTTCAGATGAAGTACAGGCCGAAACCAAGGGGGAGATTTCTCTGAAATTCGTGATGTTTTAATGTAAATGTACATATAACAACCTTTTCCACAATTTTCCTGGCACACAGGATTTTATTTCATGATGTTTCGTCCCGTACTTCATCTGAAATGCGCGTCACCAGATTCGAAGCGAGAGAATTTTCCACCGGTTTGATCGTGGTAACGTACTGCTTCTTCTCTCAAATTCAATAATT